TGGCCATTTATTAGGAATGTTGCTAAAGTAGTTTCTTGCTGTCGAACATGTCGTGTAGTAAAGGCTAGGAAACAAAACACTAGTCTTATACCCCTTATTTTGCATCAGCATTGGAACAATTTGAGCATGGATTTTGTGTTAGGATTACCCAAAAACTTAAAGGTCATGATTCTATTTTGCAGTTGTGCATAGGTTAGATGACTCGTTTTTATCATTGTAATAAACAGATGTGCAACTCCATTGCTAAGATATTCTTTAGTGATTTGTTGAACCATATGGGTTACCCTCCATCACAGTGTCTGATATGGATGTCATATTTAGAAGTGATTTAAAGACACTTTTGAAGAGTTGTATGTCTTTTCTGATATGGATGTCATATTTACAAGTGATTTAAAGACACTTTTGAAGAGTTGTATGTCTTTTCACATTTTTTCACAAACATGTTTCGTAGTTGTATGTCTTTTCACATTTTTTCACACACTATAAGAACTTTTGAAGGGTTTTATTTTATTTTAATTATAGTTTCGTAGTTGTTATATATATATTTAGTTTTGCTATCGATAGTTGTTTCAAACTTGATAAACCTGTGCATCAATTCTTTTTTTCCTAGGCATTAATTTGGTTTTAAACTCCATCGATTTGAAAAATATAAAGGTATTTGGGGGAAGAATATGAAAAGCCTACATATTGCATGTGTCAAGAGAATACCAAATATTCAATCCTATGTTGCACTGACATATTAATCTTTGAACTAAAATTCGTATATGTACATGTAAATATTAGTGATTCATGCAGTTCTCTAACTGAAATATGATTTTTTTTTCCATATTAAGCCTGGCTGCTCCAGTGAGCTCTCTGGATTTGGCTCAACAGAAGCCCAACTTATACAAATTAAGGTATGTACTTTTGCTTTCATTTTCAAATTTGAATGTTTTTGGAACTCTTGAGGCCGTTTTAAAAATTATGAAGGTATCTTCTACTGATGTTTCTTCCCCTACTTTTCTTTGTTTTCTATTTCATTTGATTCACTTGGTAGGAGGACACAATATCATCCTTCTTTGTTTTCTCTCTCTCTTAGATATCTTAGTAGCAAAGGAAAAAATTATTGGACAACTTTTAACCTTTTCCTTCGTCAGTTCTTTTTATGTAGATTTGACTTTATATACTGGACTCCATCTATATCATGGAATTTTCATGATAATTTCTGGTTGTAGCTTTTTCATGTAACTTTATATCTGAAGCCCAAATAAGATGGTAATACAAGCTCAAGAATGGGCTTGAGGATATAATAGTCATAGAAGAGCGATATTGGAGGCGAAAAAACTAGGATAAAGTGGGGTTAAGGATGGAAGTGGTAACACTAGGTTGTATTATAGGATAGTAAATGGGTGAAAGCGGAGGAATGGGATCAAATAGGTAGAATTAGGAGAGGGAGGGGTCAGCGAGATAGGGAAGTAATGGGGTGAGAAATTGCTTGCTTTTGTCAAAAGCTGTACACAGAATAGGAGGTCTTCAGACCTCTTATAAAAGGCATCAATTGGCACCCCATCAGTGTAGCTCAAGAAAAACAATTAGAGAGGTTATCTGAAGAGCAGGAGAATAGGAGAACTATTTGGACAGTGAGCATAGGAAGAAGCCCTGGCTCGGATGGGTTCACGGGTGCCTCTTTTCAATCATGTCGGGATGTTACAAAGGACGGGTTCATGAAGATTTTTGAGGAAGTCCACTTGAATGAAAGAATTTGTAGAAGTATGAACTCCAAATTTTTATAACCTATGTACCCAAGAAAAAAAAAATCTAAAATGGCATTAGACTGTCTTCCCATTTGTTTGGTAACTATTATTTATAAGATCATAACTAAGGTGTGTGAAAGAATTGAATGTTATGTTTACTATTGAGGGAGGTCCTATATATGCACAACTCTTATAGAAAAGGAAACTCTAAATTAATTATACCTTTACGTACTCAATTACATATACACACTCTTATTGCTCGTTCTAAAGCTGTTGAATAGACATTGTCTATTTCCAGCTTGGCAATGATCTTATTAAAAGTTGGATTGCTTAGACCTTAAGGGGATATGTCTATAAATTGTGAGTTAGTAAGCATGTAGGTGTACAAATCATTCCAATATCAAACTTTTCCTTAGTAAAATACCAATATCCTGCTGTAGTGTATTACAGATAATGTTAACTGCTGACTTGCTATTGTAGTAAAGTCTCATTGGGTCATCTCACTTAATTCTCAGATCTTCCAAAATCAACTTCAACCATAATAGTTGGCAGATTCCTTGCTCAAAACTCTGATTCTGCTTGGAATTCTGATTATGAAGTAGATCGTGCCACTATCTTACTTTTCCGTGTGGCCAAATTCTTGCAAAGGAATGTATAATAACTTGTTAGTGGATCTTCTATCTACTCCCATTCCGATATAGTGCGTATTAATATAGGCTTAAGGTAATAGTATGATATGCTTTTTGAATAAGATACTTTTTTTTTTTGGTGTTCCCTTCAATTCTGTAGCACGCAATATGCTGTCTGTAAGTGTACCTTTTTACTGACTGGAGCATAAGCTGCTGTCTTCAACCTCCAAACTTGGTTTTTCAGCTTCAACATGCAAGCCTTCACTGCATTCTTCCACAAGTTCTTTTGTGACTGCTGCTCTTTTTGAACGATGCTTGAGCACGAGAGCTAGGTTTTTGGAGAAGGGTTTTTGGTGTTCAAAGGGAGACAAGGGAGGGGGTTTGGGGGTGGGGGGGTTGAGGAGGGTTTGTGACAGAGAAGGGAGAGAGCGAGAGAACAGAATTTGAGTGGAATAAGGATATTCTGTGGAGAGATTTTGGGGGGGTGGGGTGGGGGGGGGGGGGGTTATGAGAAGAGGAGCTGGTTTTCTGTGAGACAAAAATGGTTGGAAGTGTGTGTGTTTTGGTGTTGAAGGAAGAAGAGAAAGAAACAAGGAGTGAAAACAGTGAAAAGCAGGAGAAAACCGTGGCAACACTTAAACGAGATTTAGAAGAGGAGTTTGAAAAAAGCTTTACAAGATCCATTATGTAGAGAAATTTTGTAGAAAATGTAGAAAATAGCTGTTATTCTAGAAGGAAAACAGCTGTCATCTCGTTTGTCCTTTTTTGTGTACCGTAGAAAGGAGAATAACAGAATTGGTGGTGTGTCACCTACACCAATTCTGAATATTCCCTGACCCCACAAAATCTGGTTATGGTGTAGAAAAGTTGTTATTCATTTGTGTATAAATATGTTCATTTGGAGCTGGAAAATGCAAGCAGAAAATAGAGGAAAAACTTCCCTCAAAATAGCTTCATAATTTCTTTATGGTATCAGAGCTTCTTCGGTTCTGATCCGCATTCAATTACCCCTGTTCCAGCATAATACAACAAGTGTTATGGCTTCTGGAGGTACGTCGTCCTCATCTTCACCTAAGGTATCTTCAGGACCTCTCCTTTCTTCAGCAATCACGCACGGCCTCAGAGAGCAAGCCTCTTCACAAATTACGGGCCACAAGCTGACTGAAAACAACTATCTACAGTGGTCCTCTTCTGTGCTGCTTTTCATTCGGGCAAGGTTAAAGAGGAATATATCATCGGAGAAGCAGCACCACCACTCGCCACTGATCCAAACGCGAAGACATGGAAAATGGAGAACATCCTCGTCATGTCTTGGCTTGTCACCTCAATGACGTTGGAAATAGGAGAAAATTTCCTCCTATATGAAACTGCTCACGACATTTGGACTTCTACCAAGGAATTTTATTCCTCCAAAGACAATACCGCAGCTGTGTTTGAAACGAAAACAACCCTTCACAACGTCCACCAGGGTGACTCCACCGTGACACAATATTGTAATATTCTTACGCGAAGCTGGCAGTGGCTTGACGTGTTTGAAGAGGTGAAATGGGTCTCCCCTGAAGATGCCAGAACCTACCAGAACTTGGTTGAACGAAAGAGGATGTTTAAATTTCTGCTGGGTCTAAATCTCTACCTTGACAATGTAAGAGGATGCATTCTGGGTTAGAAGCCTCTGCCCAGCATTCGCGAAGCCTTCTCAGAGGTTAGAAGAGAGGAGAGTTAGAAGAAAATTATGATGGGTGAGGGCCGTGTTGTAGCAAGGTCATTTGAGAATGCGTCGGCTCTAATGATGCATTTTGAGAGTCGCGGGAAAAAGGGCAGACCATTTTGTGATTACTGCAAAAAGCCCGGCCATGTACGCGACCGTTGCTGGCGACTTCATGGCAAGCCAGCTGACCGTCATCCTCTGAAATCCAAAAGCTTCACAGAATTGCGAAGTAACGCGGCAATAGTCGCAGCAACAAATGAAGAAGGGTCTGAGTCTGCCTCAGGTTCTAGAAAGGACCATTTTACCCCAGGGCAACTTGATATTCTCCAAAAGACCATTCAAAAATTGTTGTCCCAAGGTTCAGCTAATATAACAATCACTCAAAAAGGTAATAATCTTCAGGTACTCTATTTTACAGCATGTTCTACAGGTGAACAAGCATGGATAGTTGATTCCGGTGCAACCGACCACATGACTGTTAATATTTCTCGGTTTAAAGATTAGTGTCCTTGCAGTGAGTATTTCACCATTAGGGTTGCGGATGGAACTGTATCTATAGTGGGTGGTATTGGCTCAGTTGTCGTATCACTCTTAATTATTCTGGAATTGGTTTTCTTTATTCCAATTAGCATATAATTTACTATTAGTTCGGAAACTGACTACTGATCTCAACTGTGTTGCTAAATTTGGTTCAATTTTGTGTGAATTTCAGGACTCAAACTCGGAGAAGATGATTGGTAGTGCTAGAGTGCATACCGGACTCTACCTCCTCCGTGCTGAATCTTCTAGTAGACAAGCTCCAAATGTAGTATGTACTGGGTCTATTTCTATTAGTAGTACTTGTGATGAAATCATGTTGTGGCATTCTCGCTTGGGACATTCAAATTTTTTGTATTTAAAGAAAATGTTTCCGCCATTGTTCTTTAATAAAGACCCTTTGTTATATCGATGTGAAATTTGTCAACTTTCTAAGTATGTTCGGAATATTTTTTCTAGTCTCAAGTATACGTCATCTAAACCATTTTTCTTAATTCACAGTGATGTTTGGGGACCTTCCCGACCCACTGACATATCCGGAAATAAGTGGTTTGTATCCTTTATTGATGATCACATAGGGATACTTGGGTATTCCTTATGAAAAGTAAGTCAGAAGTAGGAGCCATATTTCAAAAATTTCACAAAATGATTAAAACCCAATTTGGCATAACAATACAAGTGTTAAGATCTGATAATGCTTGTGAGTACTTCACATCAACCCTTAATAGTTATTTTGCTGAAAATGGTATAATTCATCAGAATTCATGCGTCTATTCCCCTCAGCAGAATGGTGTTGCTGAGAGAAAAAATAGACATATTCTGCAAGTCACTAGGTCCATTATGTTTGCTATGAATGTACCAAAATATTTTTGGGGGGAAGCCTTATTCACAACCACTTACTTGATAAACAGAATGCCTTTCCGAGTCCTCAAGTACCAAATCCCATTTAATCTTCTCTCAGAATCCTTTCCACATTCCCGTATCCTAAATTCCCTACCACTAAAGGTCTTTGGCTCCTCTGCATATGTTCATGTCCACTCACACCTTCGAGATAAACTTGATCCTAGAGCCCTTAAGTGCATTTTTGTGTGTTATTCTCCTTATCAAAAAGGATACAAATGCTTCTTTGCGGATACTCGTCGGTTCTATCACACCATGGATGTCACATTTTTTGAAAATAAATCATTTTATCCTAAAAGCAACATTCAGGGGGAGAAACATACTCAGGAATATCACATTTGGGAAGCTACCATTTCTTCACCACTTGTCCACACACACCAAATATCACCCACACAAAATGAGCCCAAACCAAAAAGTACATTACCTACAACAAAGGAGTTACGTGTCTACACTGGGAGGAATAAGGCTCAGAAAGGTAGTGTTCCAGCAGGGACTAAGCTCTGCCATGACTCGACTCTGCCTCCGACCGTCCTAGACCCAATTGGTAAGACTATTATTACTGATGATGATTTACCTATTGCCTTGAGAAAAGGAACCAGATTCTGTACTAACCACCCCATACAGGATTATTTGTTACTTGGTAATTTGTCTACAGAATATCATGCTTTTGTAAGCAAACTAGATGAGAGCTCATCTGAGCCCAAGATAGTTCATGAGGCACTCAGAATTCCAGAATGGCGAGCAGCTATCGAAGAAGAAATGAGAGCTCTTGAAAAAAATGGGACATGGGAATTGACAGAGTTGTCTCATGACAAGCGACAGGTAGGATGTAAATGAGTTTTCACAACTAAATATAATCCTGACGGCAGTATAGACAGACATAAAGTCCGTCTGGTGGCAAAGGGGTTCACACAATCGTATGGAATAGACTATCAAGAGACTTTCGCTCCTGTAGCCAAGCACAACACGATACGGATCTTGTTTTCTCTTGCAGTAAATCTAGACTGCCCTTGTTCCAATTAGATGTGAAGAATGCTTTCCTTAACGGAGACTTGGAGGAGGAAGTGTACATGGACATCCCTCCGGGTTTTGAGACAAGCAATAACTCTCATAAGGTGTACAGACTTAGAAAAGCACTTTATGAACTCAAGCAGTCAAGGGCATGGTTTGGAAGATTCACAAGAGCTGTCAAGCAAGTGAGATATAAGTAATGTCAGTTAGATCACACTTTATTTGTCAAACACTGCGACTCGAGTAAGAAGTCTATCTTAATAGTTTATGTTGACGATATTATAATTACAAGGGACAATGGTGAAGAAATTCAGAAATTAAAAGAGTTCATGGCCAAAGAATTTGAAATAAAAGACATAGGAATACTCAGATATTTTTTAGGCATGAAGATTGCACGATCAAAGAAGGGAATTTCTGTGGCTCAACGGAAATATGTACTTGATCTCCTAAAGGAGACCGGAATGCTCGTCTGTAAGCCTGTAGACACACTTATGGATTCTACTGTGAAACTTGGCAAGAGTGAAGGTGACAAGTTGACTGATAAGGAGAGATATCAGAGGTTAGTTGGGAAGCTCATATATTTGACACATACGAGACCAGATATAAGTTTTGCAGTCAGCACAGTGAGCCAGTTTATAAGTCAACCAACTGACACACATGGTAACTGTGTACAGGATTCTCAGGTATATAAAGAAAACACCAAGACAGGGCCTATTTTTCTAAAAGAACACAGACATGGAGATAGGAGTTTATACAGATGCTGATTGGGCTAGTTCAGTCAATGATAGGAGGTCAACCTCAGGGTACTGCACCTACGTCTGGGGTAACCTTGTTACATGGCGAAATAAGAAGCAATCAGTGGTATCACGGAGTAGTGCAGAATCTGAATTCAGATTCCTTGCCCATGGTATATGTGAAGGTGTCTGGTTAAAGAGAGTATACAAGAGCTAAACTTGACTCCAGGAATGCCTATAAAAGTGTGGTGTGATAATCAGTCAACTATCTGAATGGTGAAGGATCCAGTCCATCATGATACGACAAAGCATGTGAAGATAGATCAGCATTTCATCAGAGAGAAGATCGAAGACAGTGTTATAGACATCATTCATGTTCCCACAGATCGACAAGTTGCTGATATACTAACCAAAGCTCTTCCTAAACATGTATATGAAAATATTGTATCCAATGTAGGTTTACACAACAATTATGTAAACTTAGATTGAAGGGGAGTGTAGAAAATGTAGAAAATAGCTGTTATTTTAGAAGGAAAACAACTGACATCTCCTTTTTTATTTCTTGTGTACCGTAGAAAGGAGAATAACAGAATTGGTGGTGTGTCACCTACACTAATTCTAAATATTCCCTGACCCCACAAAATCTGGTTCTGGTGCAGAAAAGTTGTTATTCATTTGTGTATAAATATGCTCATTTGGAGCTGGAAAATGCAAGCAGAAAATAGAGGAAAAACTTCCCTCAAAATAGCTTCATAATTTCTTTAAATTTCTATTTTAGTTGGACTTGAACAAAGTCTCAAGCTTATTGTTGCTTGATATGAATGTCTGGAATGAGTATTCTGTGACCGAAAACTGCACTGGCCAAGAGTAGCCGGATGGATGTAGGTTGAGCAAAATCGTGTGACCAATATCGCTTCATTTGGCGATGGTCGAAATGGTCTCGCATGGAAGGAAATTTCTGACCATCAAAAAAAAAACCTTCGACGTCGTTTATGAGAGGAATAAATCGGAAGGGATATGGGTGAGTGAGAATAAGAGGGGTTTTAGAGTCTCAATATGGGAAGATGAAGTGGAAAGGATTCTCGGTGCTTTACAAGAATTTTATTGGACCAAGGGTACACAACACAAAATCTCGATCACCAGCCACTCAAATTCTGATCACCAGTCACAAACTAAATGGAACATCTACATTCAGGAGTCTTAATCGATTAAGATGTTTATCTATGGAAGAGAGGAAGATGAATACGTCATGAGAAAAGTCACCCAATCGAGCACCAAAGACCCAAAATTCTGAACTTAGAAGACTGAAAATAATCTAATTATGTCGTGACTGATTAATTCCGTGACAAATGATATCAGTGAGAATTTTGTGTTGTATGGGACTACACGCGGAATTTGGAAAGCAAACAAATGAGTTCTACTTGAGTAAAGAAAATATGTGAGAAAGTTTTGCTGTTGAATCTAGCCTCAACAACTTGTGGCAGTGGGATTAATTTGTAACTTAGTACTAGGGTTTGCTTACCTGTCACTGGCAATGATTCAATGTGTTTGAGGAACTTGCACGGAGCTGTCTAGATGATGCAAAACGGTATAGAAAAATTTTGAAAAGAAAAAGAATCTTCAAATTTCTCATGAGATTGAATAAAAATCTAAATGAATTCTGAGGAAGAGTACACGAAATGGAACCATTACCTGACATTCGTGATGTCTTTTCCGAAGTGAGGAGAGAAGAAAGTAGAAAAATAGTAATGTTGGGGGATAGATTCACAAGACTGACTACTGAGTAAAACACTGCTTTGGCTACCTGGGGTTCTCATCCCAACTCAGACAACTGACAAAGATGGGGAAGACCTTGGTGTGATCATTGCAGAAATTTTGGGTCATATTTGAGATAATTTTTGGAAAATTAATGGAAAACTAGCAAATTTGAAGAGCACAAAATCAACCCCAGACAAATAAAGTAGGGAAACTTATGCCTCTTTTGATGAAGATGTCTCCACTAAGAAATCATGCCCATTCAGCTAAGAGTAGATGGACACCATCCAAAAAATGTTCCTACATCAAAACTCCAATTGTCAAAACATGAGTCTTTTGATGAAGATGTCTCCGCTAAGAAATCATGCTCATTCAGCAAAGAGCAGATAGACACTATCCAAAAAATGTTCCTGCACTCCAATTGTCAAAAAATGAGTCTCAAGACATTTCAACTTAGACAATCTTAATACAATTATACTATGGCATTATCGATTTGGACACCCATACTTTGTATACCTACAAAAATTATTCCCTTATTTATCCATAGACAAAAATTTGAAAAATTTTTATGAAGTATATCAATTGTCAAAACATACTTGTACTATATATACTCGTACTTATTTATTCAGGCTTGTGCGATCTGGTAGTTGGCTGTCAAAGATGGCACAGCTGTTCAAGGCGGTCAGGGAGCAATAATGGCAAACAGAAGGGTGGTCAGGGACAAACGCGCAAGGTGGGGTGTAGTGGG